GGCGCGCGCCGCGCGGATGGGGGGATCTGCTCTCGTCTGAGCGGTGCTTTGTACGTGTCGCAGGAGTGTCTGGGGACACACAGAAACTTCGTAGTTTATTTAAGGCGTGATTCAGTAGGGTGCTGCCTGCGAGATGTCAAGTGCCGTGGCCGTCGGCACCTAGCGCGGCCGTTCCTGGTGGCAGCGGCGAGGCTGAAGCCGTATCTGTGCTGGGAATTTTCACAGGCTTCGTGTATCTAGTTATGCTCTGCTATAACGTAGGCTTAAAGTGGATTACCCCTCGGCTAAATTAGCCTAGTTTGTGGTGTAAATTATTGAGCAAATCTAAAGTGACCACCTGGGGGTTAAATAATTTATGTGCATCTGCATGTGAGTTTGTGCTGGCTTAGCTAGATCAATTTTTAGAAGCTGAAATGCTTCTAGTACGTGTTGAAATGCTTCTAGTACCGGTATGGCCTTGATGTATGCAGTCTGATGTAGTGAAATACCTGAATAATCATCTAAGTGCTGTTAAACTGTAGCTTTGCTGTTGATGCCTCTGTTAAGAGGAGTAGGTGAAGGGTGCAGAACCAGAAGACTCCTGGCATTGCATAAAATGTACAGAGAATAAGGATAAAAGCATAACCAGCCCACTCAAAACCATGATAATTTTTAATTTGATACAGTTTTGTGCATGCTTGCTTGTAGTTTAGTCATTCTACTACTGGTTTCTTCCTCTTGCTTTTTTTTTCTCTCTCTCTCTTTTTTCTTTTTTTTTTTTCTTTCCCTTCAGGTGGGGTTTTTCTGTAGCTTTAGATAGCTGCAGTGAGAAGCCCTGATAACAACTTCTAGATTTTATGGCAGCAAATGTAAAAATGACGCACAGATTTTCTGGCAAGGCAGGAAGTTCACTTTTCTTGCATTATCAGATGGCATTTTTACTTTCTTGGCTGCCCTGCCTGGCTGCATGTTGGACCAGCTGTATGTTTCCCCTGCTGGTATAATCCACCTGGCTTGTATCCTGCTCCTTTGTGTACACTTGAGTTGCTCTGGAGGGATGCGACTGCCGCTAGAGTAAATAGCAGTTAAGGCAAGCTAGAGCTGAGACATCCCTGCTTCAGAGCAGCTGCTAAACTATCAGTGTCACTGGCATTGTCAGTGTCCTAGTCGCTTATTCCAGTAGTCGGGAATGACCTGAGCTGTTTATGCAGCCAGGCTATATGAAGCTTTGGAGCCTTGAGATTCCTTTCTATCCTTGCTATTAAAGTGCTTCCAGACTTTTGTCTTGTGACCTAATTACTGTTGTCTACCCCTCTAACTTTTATGGTGTCCAGCTCCTATTCAAAGTGTTTGTGCCTACTGATATTTCCTGGCATGCTGTGTTTTCTATGTAAGTTTTCTTTATATCTCTCAGCTGTCTTTATCTTTCATTGTACTGAATTCAGATTTCCCATTTCGTAAAGCCTTGCACAGTTCTTTCTGCTCCTGCTCATTATTTTGTTTCTTGCTGAATTTCACTATCTACTTTGTCCACTTCCCACATACACGCATTTATCCTGTACCTCATATGTTCTAGGTGATTCCCAAGTTAATGTTTGAAGTCCAAGTCCTGCCTGTGCATAAAATTCCTCAAAGCCCAAAGCTCATTACTAGCACTGTACATGAAGTATGTAAGTAAATCATCATAGTCAGAAGGTAACCCCTTCTTGCAGCCTGGAAGTTGTAAGCAAAATTTGAACACACACAAAAAAATGGTTCTATAACTTTGTTGATGTCTGCTTTTCTGTTGTGAACCACACTTGTTGTTCATCCTGACTTGTTTCTAGATTCTTTGGTAAAGGTGTACTGCAGTAGCTCAAATTTGACTTGAATATCTTGGTAACAACGTAATAAAAAAATATATTTCTGCTGTTGTTGTAAATATGCCCAGGGGAAAGATTGACTATTTGTAATGGGAAAATTCTTTGGGAATTTTCCTGAAAATAAAGGCAGTTTATTTCACGAAAAGAAAGGCAAGTCTTTCTTTATTGGTGGGTTGCATACCTGTGTCAGAGGGAACTCGTCATAGGGAAAACAGGCAGCACCCTGAAAGAATGTCAGCTGGTTTGGTTCTTTAAAAGCTGGGCATGGGTTAATTTACTCCCCTATTCTCTTTGTCATCCTTGGTTAGGATAATGGGTTTGGATGCTGACTGCATTGGAACAGTTGGGGATTTCCTAGTTAGGAAATGGAACCTCCATTTGGGACAAACTGGAGCTGTAGGATAACCTTGTATTGTGCCCGTGTTCACGTGTGGTGGGAGGCAGGAGGGAGTGATAGTCATAGTAGGATATTTTCATGCTTTTTGTGCATTGCTGCCAGCTGTTACAGATTGAAGAATGTCTGCATGTGTGACTGTAATCTGTGCTTTAGCTGAAGTTATCTAGGAATTTAGCCAGTTAAATTGGCTGTGGATGGGTCAAATACTTTTTGTACTGAGCAAAGAAAGATAAATGATGTAGATTTAAACATGGTGTTTAAAATGCTAGTCTCTCGATTTACAGTGGGTAGTTCCAGCACTGCACTTGCACTAGACCTCACTGATTTCTGAGGGGTTTTGCCAAAGTGAGGACTTAAAATGGGCCTCCAGTTGTTCGCTTCCTGAAAGTCTTCTCGTATCTGCCAGTGTGGCAACCGATTTTGCCTCGAGGTTATGGTAGAATTGTAATATAGGCCATCTGTGTGTTTGTCCTTTATCAACCAAACACATGTGAAATGCAGTTCTTCCAGATGCAGGCGGTTCTAGAGGAAAAGGACAAACTAATATAACAAGTGCTATTCCCTGAGCTGAGACCGAGGCAGTGTGTGCAGGCCATAGTAATGAGTGTGTAGTAGCATTTCTTTGCTCTATTTTGGTATGTGAGGATCTCAAGTAAATATTGTTTTGTCTTAAACTTTTAACATTTCTGTTTTCTTTAAACAGGACCAGAAGAATACAGAGAAGTTAACTTACCAAAAGTGATAATAAAAAAAAAAAAAAGGCTGAGCAAAAGCTGAGTTAGGAATGGATTGATTTATGAGAAGTTTGATATGTGAGAGCTACGGTTTGTGTTGCTGTGGGCCAGCTGCTGCTGCTGGTGGACTTCAGCTGACTTCATTACAGCAACCCCAGCAGTTCCTCATCGCTAGCAGAAAGTCAACAAGTGTGATGCTGAAATGAGATGAGGCTCCGAAATGGAACTGTGGCCACCGTGTTAGTATTCATCACTACTTTCCTCAGCTTGTCCTGGTATACTGCATGGCAAAATGGGAAAGGTAAGGAAAAAAGGCTATGAAAACAAACTGTGGCTTTGTTTTCAAAAGCCCCAAGCAAGTGTTTGTCACAGGAATAAATGGTACAGCATATTTGTTGTTGCTGTGTGTTAGTAATCTGTAAGCATCTCTGAAGTATCTCTGAAGCAGAGATAGCCAACATACAATTGCCTTAGTGAGGAAATACCCACTAGTGGATTTTGAAAACTAACTGAAGGGAATATTTTTGTTTAAAAATTCTCTGAAGAGTATCAAATCCTGCTGTTTGACTTTGGGTTTGGTTCATACTGAATAGTTCTTTTATCTAGTTTATGGCTTTTGAAGAAACAGACTTTTCTGGGTGTTTTGTTTTTCTTCCTATAACATATGGCCAATGAACGAGGCTGGAGACTTGTTTTTGATGCTGCCTTCTATCTTCCCTAATGATTTGGTAAAGGCAAATGGCCAGTAGACATCGTTGAATGATATTTTTCTTGCTGTCTTTGAATGAAATGTACAATGTTTCTTGTTGGAGTATGATTTAAGGAATGCTGTAACATGAACAAGTTGACCAAGTAATAGGAAATATAATGAGTGATCTCATGAAATAATTGTTATACATGACATTTCTTCATTATTTCCTTTTTATATATGTTTGTTAATCATATTGCACTCCCGATGAACCTTGGAAAATCCCGGTTTTCTGATGGTCAGAACTGTTTATGGTGAATGAGATATTTTGGGCTTGTCCTTCAGGAAAACAAACAAACTTGTTCAGTAATGGTTTCTAGAAGTAGGATATTTGTTTTATAAAGACTAATCTCTTGAAAATAATAGGCTATGTCCATCAAAGATAAAGTAATTTTAAAATCAATTCTGTTTTAAATGAGGTCGTTGCATGGTTTGTTCTGCTGAGAACCTTGTCTTCAGTTGTGCTTTGGGTCCAATATGGATAGCGGGCTGCGAGTTTCCAGGAATACCGTCTGTTGTAGCACAGCCAGCATGCAGCCGTTTTTGTAAGTGTAAAAGAAGAAAGACAAAGATCCTTTGGGAAGAAGCAGATGAGTTCTGTGGCATATTGACTATTTTTTTCACTGGGCATTTGTAGGAGAAGCAGATGCTGTGTGGTCTGATCTTTGCTGTAACAGTTGGTCAGTAGGCTAGGCGAATGCACAAATCGGTACAAAGAGAAGGTTCTTGAGGTTGTGGTAAGGTACGATGGTAATTTGCAACGGGAAGGTAAAAGTGCCAAAGACTGACAATAAAGGTTTTATTGTCTTTTTTCTTTTTTAAAAAAATTTGGTTAATACCATACACATTCTGTAATTAAACTTCCTGTTACTGATTCTCTTCTCACTTTAAAAAAAGGTCACTATTGAGACAGTACAGGTCTATATGGTACTTGGCAACAGTCAGTGCATATTTAGGTTTCGGTTGGTCAGACAAGTCTGGCTTTGGTACTTTTTTTTTCTCCATCTGACTGTTCAGAATAAATACTTCCTTTATGGTAGTGTAAAAGTTAGGCTTTTTATCTTTCCCCAGATCTTCCTGTTGAACAGTAAGATGGTAATTTGTGAAGTAAAAGTCAGTGTAACAAGATGTCAGCAATTTGTTAAGTAATCATGAATTGCAGTTATGTAACTATGATCTATAAGCAATTTAATCTTCAGGTGTTCCTTCAAGTAAAAATTATACTTATAAAAGTGTTTAATTTCATTTCACTTTTTTGACGTAGACAATCTGTGTGAATTAATAAGAAACTAAGTCCAAGACTAACGTAGTTTTGAGCTGTTTTCAGTACCACATTTTAAACTGGAGACGCTTCCACGCCAATGTGAAAAGCTTTGGAATATCTATATGGGTGTGTGTATATATGTATGCACTTTAAGAATTCATTTTTTTAAGCTTGAAATAATTTTATGTTTATTTAATAAGCCGTATGGGATGATCTTTTCTTTCATTACTCTTTCATTTCACATTGACTCGGTTATAAGCAAATAAGGCAGTTGTTTCTACTCATGAGATGCTCTGAGGTTTTACTACTTTTTTTTTTTTTTAAATACATTTGTGTGGTATGTGCTGGACTCCTGTAGGCATTTGTTGGTCTAGGATAGAAAAATATATCTACATTTAAAAAGTGCTAAAAAGGAAATACTATTAGAATTTTAAAAACAAAAAGCAACCCTACAAATTTATAGTTTCTAAGTGGTAACCAAGCAAATTTTGCTTTTTAAAAACAGAAGCACAGGGCCTTACTCCAACAACCTTAAACCACTCTTCGGACGATTCATTTTAACTGAAGAACTAAGAAACCGCTGCATAAAGACCTTGGATGACTGTCATTTAAAAAGCAGAACCATTTGCACAATAGTGATAAGTCTGGATTGATGTGCTATGGTACTTCTGCAGATCTTATCTTTCTGTAATAAATATATGTGGTCCTTGTCTGTGAACATACTTGTACAAAGTAGTGTTCAGGCATCTTAAGCTGGTACAGACTTTGATACTAATTTAAGGAACAAAATTTATCTCTGGAAACCAGTGCTCTACAGACTGTAAGGATATGATGAAAAGTTGTTAGGAGTTGAAGTAAATACTACCTTTGCTAGGAAGAACATGACTCTAGGTTAGTCTGGTGGCCAGGTTATATAAATAGCAATGAACTGTCCTGTGAAAGGTTATTTGGATGAAATGGCCAATTAAATGTTTTTGTGTTTAAAGTTAACTGTGTTCCGAGAAGGTCGACTGAATAAGTTCTTATCTCTGAAGGGTATCTTCAAAATTAGGACAAGATATTTGTCACTTCCTGGACCCCATGTGGTCTGTAGAAATGCTGGAGCAGTAAGAAAGTAGTATAAACCCTGAATATACCTGAGAAAAACACCCTTCTGTGAAAAGGATTTGTAAGGCTGCTTGTCTGCTTTTTTGGTGTTAAAAATAGGCTTGGATGTGGTTAATTGATAAATGAAATACAGAATTTGGAAATCTAGTCTTATCCAAATGGAGATTACTTGGGAGCATTAAAAAAGCACTTTTAAAGAATCTGCGTTGAGGAGTGCCATTCATTTGTTACTTCATATTGACAGATTTTTAGTACAACTTAAAAGGTCCTTGAATACCTCCTAGGACTACTCTCTTCTACAAATAACAATTTTATGCTTAACATCATCTATTGTGACCAGATCATGCTTTCCAGTACTGTTTACCTATGCAGGGTTGCAGGATTTCAACACCTAATTTTTGAGCTACTGAATTATAGTCTTCTTTATCCTAAAGGTATACTGCTCTTAAGAAGATCCAGCTAGTACAAGATATTTCTCTGTACCTATTATACACCAAAATTTCATCAAAGATGTGATGTTCTGTACAGATGCTCTGTCTTGATGCTTTGTCTTTAATGCAACTAGTAGTCTGAGCTTGAATACATAGTGATCCAGAAGAATTCTGCTGGAGAATCTGCAGGATTCAGCTAAATTAGTGCTGATGACATAGAGGGAACTTTCTCAGCAAATATATATCTACTTTATCACTTGCTTCCCACATGGAAATTCTACCCTGACCCTATTGTCTTTAGTAAAAACTCAGGTTTTTGTTCAAAGCATGCTTGCTTATGCTTGTTGAAAGACAGTAATTGACAGTGCCTTATGCATGGCACTTGTCTGCTGGAAGTAATAAGAACTTGTACAGAATATGTATCCAGAAAATCTGAGGCAACTCATCCCTTCAGGGCTGTCTAAATGATGTGGTTCCCCAAGCAGTCCGGAACTGCCATCATTTTTCCATGCAGAAGAGCCTTTTCTCACATGCAGCTCATGAGATAGTTAGGCAGCTTTCTAGGCTTGCTGAATATTCACTCATGCTTAGGCAATGAGTGGGAGCTACTTTAGTAGCAACCATTGTAGTAAATTTTGGAGTTACTGTTGTCTTCTTGCTATTAATGATTTCATTTTCTCTCCTCTGGAGAGGTTACTAAATGGCCTGATCTGTATAATAAAACTGCTGTGTCTTTCCTCTTCTATTTTCATGAAATTAGAATAACTTTACTGTGATGCTCAGCTGTGGTAATTGTAAGTGCTGAATGATAATTCAAACTTTAACTTAAGTATGGGGGCATCAGTTACGTGAAATTTTGCAGTGAGAACCAGAAATATTCCTTCTTGGAGGAGAAAAGCTCTACAGAACCATAGAGGAAATGGGATAGAGAGGAGAGGAAATAATTATTTTTTTTGGCAATGACTATGCTTATTTTTCTTTAAAAATAGAATAGAAATCTGAGAGATGCATCTAAATGCTTTGCAGCCATAACTCATTGTAATTCATACTTTGATCCTAGAAGAAGTTATTGGAGTAAATGCTGGTTAAAGTCTTCTGGCTGCCCGCTCTCTTGTCAGTGTTTTGTGCCGGTTTCACAATGATGTGCATTAAGACTAATCGGCCAAAAAATATTAAATGGGCAGTGGATGGGGAAGCGTGGAGCTGGAGTAAAGGAAAAGGAAGGAATGGAACGGTAAATTAGAAAGTATGTATAACAGTTCATGTCAATTTGTTTAATGTGAAAAAAGTCTATTTCTTTTGCATAGAGAGGAAGTGTTGGTTTCCTTTAGAAATGCTGTTGCAGATCTTCTAAGAGCTGATTTGAAAGGAAATAGTTTCCTTTTTCTTTTTAACACTAGCATTACTGAAGTTTTAGTCTAACATACACTTCAAGTTTGTTTTTTGAAGTTAATAAGTTTGCTTATGTCTTATTAATATTGAAAATATTAATTGAGTTTCATGATGGCCAGTCAGCAATGTACCTTTGACATGGTATCGTGAGTCCCTTGCAGTCAATGAAAGTGCAGAGGAATCAAGTGGAAGAAACAAATGCATCAGCTGCTCAGGCAGGCAGACCACAGCTATCATAGCACTTGTGTAGCACTGCCCCAACCCTTTGTCCTGTATTTCAGTAAGGGGCTAGCTAGATTAGCACAACTTTTTGTGAGTGTCTAAAACTTGCTTGCTCCTATAGTATATAAAGTGTTAGC